AAGGTTGACAGAACCTTGACAGATTCAATACCAGTGTCACTTACTGTTCTTTAGTCTTAACTGTGACACAGCATCTCAGAGAACCACTGGAGATGAAAACTTCTCCATGGGGGACACTCATACAATGCTGCTGTTAATCAGCTCCTGTCTGAAAGACTGTGAAGATTAAGGGCCCTGCAAATAAGGTGAAAGGAGGAAAAAGGAAACTTGGAAAGGTAAAATGATGTGCCACAGGTCTCACAAGAGATCAGGATGAGAAGCAGAAAAGGAAGTTAAGCATCCTACTTCTTGGCCTTGCTCCTCAGCCTAACTCTGCACCACCTCTCCCATTGTCAATGTCAGGGCATATAGCAAATACTCATAAGAAAACTTCATATCCTGAATTATCAGCTTTGAGACAAATCAAGGTCCTTTTATTGCAAAAACTGAAGACTTTCAACAGGACCATTTTAGTATTACTCTTCTCCCCATGTGCATTCCTACAGCACACTGGAATTACAAAAGGAGACTGCTATGTTATCAAATACATAAAACTGGTGGTTCCTTTGGCAGCTCTGAGTGCTTACAGTAAAATATTGGCGAAAATTTCTTCCCACCAGTCAGGGAAACTCCTCTGCTGTGGGGAGTGACTCAGATGGGACATAGTCCAGAAGGCAACAGGAGATGAGGGGCCCCGATGGCACTTTTCCAGTCTTAATCAGCACTGTCTGCATGATGATAGACTGATAAGCTGCCAGAAGTAATTTCTTTCTATGAGACTTGAAACAGTGGTCCAGAACAGTTGTGATCTTTGTGTGTGTGTATTTTGTTTTTTTTTTTTAAATGCAAAATCAAGGGCTTTCATTTCCCATGGTGGCCAACAAAAAATTTTGATAGTTTCATCCTAATCTCCTGTAAATATCCATTTCTCCTCCCCCAACCTAACCCAATTTCCACTCCACAAAGTATTCTTTTCTTTCAACAAATCAGACATGCCTATCTACAACAGCACATTTATCAATGGGGAGGACTGTGACACAGAAAAAACATCCCTACTGCACAGTACATAACATTCGGGAATCCTTTCTAATAAAAAGGGATTTGATTAAAGACAGCCAACTACTACAGGTCAGCAACTGAATCAGCACTAAAGAAGGAAGAGTAGCTTAGGCTTAAGAGACTTCAATTTGCTGATTTGCCAAGGACTTTGTAGGAGAAGTCACTCCAAAACCTATTGGAGAGTAGAAGGGGACATACATCAAAGACCAGGGTGCTTAGACTTAGTATGGTAGCGTGACCTTCCACAAAACTAAGTTAGGCAGAATACCCAGCATGCATATTTAACTCCTAAAAATTTCCAGTGTTTTTTTAAAATTATTATGCTTAGTGATGACATTTCCACGTTTAAGCACTGCCTTGCCAATGGCAGCTAGAGGATTTCCCAGCGACTGGATTATGCTGCTGTGATAAGTTTAGGCAAGAAATAGCTGCAAACTGTGATCTTACTGCTCTGAAGTGTGTCTCCAGTGTGCTTCTTCAGCTTCTCACTACGTGCCTGAGCTCCCCGGGAACGCCATACCCTGCTGCCAGCTGTGTGTGCGTGCATGAGCGATCACTGGCGAGAACAGTTCCCCCGATTCTGAAACCACCTTCAGCAATTTCCACACAAGGAAGCTGCAGAGAGATGTGGTGAGCACAGACCTGATGGAAGTGCTGTCTGTCCTGCTCCTGAACTCAGCTCATTTGGTCTTCCAGCAGTACCAGCCAGCATTTCCAGGGCAAAGAGACAACTTTACTGACTCCTACTCCTCTTCCCTCCCCAGCAACCTCCACTCTGCCCACAGACTGCAGAATCAAGATGGCTTGATCGAAAACCATAGATATGGCAAGTGAAACTGCAGAAGGGAGATGGTTACAGAAAAGATCCTAGAGTGCTGACAGGACAAGTAAAATGACCTTCCTCCAGCCTGACAGTTCAAATGTAATTATTCCAACAAATTATTTTCATGACTTAATATAACGCCTTGCAGCTTTCTAGCAAGGTTAATTAGATTCCTCAATTCAAAACCTATCTGCTCTTAACCAACTTTTAATATGCTGAAATCCAGTTTTCTAAATTCAAACTAATAAAAGTGATTAGCTGACAGCTATCTGGTATGTTACAATTACCACGGCATTTAGACCTCAGGCAGAAGATATTTAATGCAAATCAGAGTCAATGTCTCTGTCCATTTGTCCTTTTTCTGATTATTTGATCAATGTGTCATATGAATCTTGTAAAATCCACACTACCATGCTAAACAAATAAAGAACAAGGGCAGAGATATTGGTTGAGACAATCAACCAAAGTTGAAAGACTCTTTTTCTTCCTCCCACACCTAATTTGTTCTTTCCACATGAGCATGAAGTTACTGAAAGCACTGGCTGACAGCTCAAGTAGATGGGTATTTAGCTCTGACATAGCCAGAATTAGTACAAAACTCCTGGCCCGCACTGCCATATCAAAAAGTCTCATCGGCTATGACTCCAGGGACCATCTTCTCCTGGGAGTAGCTCGGGCTGGAACAAACCTAGGGGAATGAGGGCAGCCTACCTCTTTGATTTTATCCAACCATAAAAAGCAGGTGTGCTCCAAAACTGCTGGTTTTGTTTTATGTTTTTCTTAGTAGGCATATAATTAGTTGTGACTGTGTCTCCCAAATGGCTGCATGGGGCACAGCATGCTTAGAGAGCTGAGGAGTCGTCGAGCCCAACACATGGTTCTTCTGCACATCAATAATGTGAAGGCTGGACACTGTTTCAGAGATGACCTTCAGTAGCATAGACTCGGTGCAATTAGAAGATGTCAGGTGCACCTTGTAATTAAACATCACCTGCTTGAGGTAGGACTAGAGTGGTTGTTTGGTTTTCATCTTCCAGCTTGCATCATGATGATTATTCCACCTTTGATCATGCTATCATAAACAACACTGGCAAAAGTTCTGAATGCTCTGGAGCCTTTTTTCCATTTTCTCGTCTCCTGCTGAATTAAGAGTTATTGGCATGGCACTGGTCTGACCTCCTATTTGATCGCCAAAGTGATGACCTAACATTGAGGACTTCATGTCCCAACCCTTTGAGCTATGCCTCCCTTTTGGATGAAAAAACTTTGATGTACCACAGTCTGAAACACGACAGGGCTGTCTTAGAGATACAGTATTAGCCTGCAAAACCCAAGCATTTCAGTTTCATAAATACAAGTGCTAAACAAAACCAAAGCTCCACTTCAGGAAGCAATTTCTGAGCTGTGAGGAAAATTAATCACTAAAACAGCTTATCAGGGGTAGGTGGTTGACTCACCATTGCTTGAAGTCTTTAAGATAAGATTAGATTTTTTGTTTTTAAAGTAATGATTTAATCCTGTTTCTGGGAGAAACTGCAAGTAGAACATTAGGCAGTATAATGGCAAGGTCCTTGCTGACCTTGAAGCCTTTGAATCTCCAAGTTCTTTGTTCACCTGCCTACCTTCCTGGACTAGGAGGAGAACTGGGTGGGCTTTGGTCCATCAACCAGCTCCTGCCACTCACAGCTCTACATTAAGAAAATGACTGTAATCAAATCTCACGCTTCAGGGCTTCATCCATTTGCCTGAAGGTAGCAGGAAAAAAGTTTCTCTCTCTTGCCCGCCCACACTAATGGCTAAATACCTGTTATGTTTGTTTGGTTGTTTCTTTGCTTTTAAAACATCAGAGAGCGAGTACAAATGGATATGGGCAGAGATGAAGTCAAACACAGCAGCACAGAAAATGCTCTCCAGTTATCCTCTCTTCAGTTAGTCATCCTTGCTCACACCTAAGATCTCTGCCAGTCATCAACTCTGATGACTATCAATGTTTTTAGAGAAGACATTTTGTGAGGGTGAAGACCATAGAAGGAAGAAGGTACTGCTGGAGAATGGGGACTGATATCAACCCCATCTACAAGGGCAATGTTTGTTTGATGAGAACATTCTGACCTTCTCATGTAATCAGATCCTTGTCACTGCAAGATCCTTGTTTATTAGTGAAACCTTGGCCCCACCTGCTTTCTGATTAAAACTAACCACAAAAATTTCTTTAAGCCAAAAATGTTTTGGTCCAACCAAAATCTATAGTAAATAGAGCTATGGGGCAATCTAAATGAAGTTTTTAAGAAATGATGAAATAAAGGAAGATAAAGACCACAAAATGAATGGCCTATCCCAGTCTTTAACTCTACGAATTACAGCAGTTTGTTTTCTAACAACACTATCACCCAACCCTATAAGAAACTAAGCATACAGCCAAGATGCATCAAATATGCCCAAGGCTCTTGACTTCAATGCAGAGTTCAGAAGCTATGTCATCTGTGTTTTATATAAAGGCAAGATATATATTTTACGCCTATAGATGCTTGAGATAATTCTGTTCTAAACCACTCAAAAAGGAAATCAGCTGCTTATCTTTTTCCATGCAAGGAAGATGACATCATTATGAGTCAATCAATTGAGATTTGTCTTCCTCATACTCATCAGCCTGAGTTCTGGGCTAACGGGTCCCCGTGTAAAACCCACCTGATTGACTTGAAATGGATTTGCTTTTAATCTATGCCAGTATACAGAAAATTAAAATCCATGCCTTGATAGCAGACCATGTTTACACTGATGGGCTTTTTGCAGCTGCAGTGAGAAGAGATGGGCAGGTGGGCAAGACAGTGCAGAGCACCTGAATTCAGCCTGGTAACCTAGAAGCTGGGGACAGATGGTGTGAAAATGAACCAGTCACTGAAAAAATCAACTTTATAACCAGAAAGACTATTATAAACATACATCAAGTGAGCACGAGATTTATGCTGAAATTACAGAGGAATTCCTATGGATGATTACACTTCCAGCCCAAGCATAGAAAGCAAATCCATCAATACGAATGTCACTACATTAACAGCACAGCTGTCAGGCCTCCTCATTACCAAACCCGGTAAATACTGAAAGGGGCTACGGACACTTGTGATATGGCACTGCTCACCAAAGTAGTCATCAGAGGGAGGATTCTCCATGTCATACAGCATTTTCTTGGTCAGATGTTCCAGCTCATCCTCAGGCCTGAAGGCAGGAGTGCTTGATGCAGGTCCAGAGCTTGGATACCCACTCTGAAAAAGAAAGGACACACAGTCTGGGATGTGGTATAAAAGTGTTCACCCACAGTAAAAGGCTCTGTTGGCTGTTTGGTGTTGAAGTTCATTCCTTGTCTTATTTTTGCTTTTTTTAAAACCCAAGGGATTCATGCAAGTAAGCATCTCATTTAATGTAATGAAAATGGACTCCTAAAAACATCCAGTGAGGTGCTTTATATCCTCCTAGAATAAGAAGTATTCTGTGCCTCATAATTAGGTGTCTACTGGGTAGCACATAATAATAAATAAAGGAGAAAATTATTCCAAGGATAACTTGATACAAACATTTTCCAACACTGAAAAAGGCTTTGGAAGCATTTCAGTCTGGATTTGGCAAAAGCTTCCATCACTTAACAGCACAATATAAAAGATGCTAGAACAATCATTCCTACAGTGTATATGGACAAAGACAGATAATCCCAAGCTGCTAGTTATGTTCTCTTCCTGTTTATTTTGACACAAATCCTGCTGTTAACATTAGTGAGATCAGGAGCTGGTCCACAGATTTTTAGTATTAGGGATACAAAGGTTTTAGAAACTGAGACCTCTTGGCCTTCATATGCTAACAGCTGGCATACGGTATTTGCAGTCTGTCTCAGTGAGTCTTCTCCCTGGAAAACAGCAGAAGTGCAAGCATATTTCAAGAAGCACAGAAATAGCCTCATGCCTAGAAGTTTCTTAGAAGAAGCTAAGTTTGGTGTCCGTAATGAGAAACTCGGTCATTTCAGGATTAAAAAATGCTGACACCAGCTTTCCTTGTGCGCACGGCTTTCTTGAAAGACTTGCATGTGAAAACTAACTTATTTATGAAATGCAACATTTCAGTAAAGCTAGTGATTTCATTGATTAATTGCTGCCTTCATCAAGGTTTTGACCTCAGATATGGAACTTACGGGCCTTAGTCTATACGGAAGCATTTTTCCGTGCTCCATACCTACTTAAATGGGAAGAAAATGTAAAATCACTGGAGAAACAATACACTGGCCCCTTCTATCTGGCTTACAGAGACTACATCTGGCATGATGAATCGTTATTGAGCAAGTCATGTTCAACACAGAACAGCAGCTTTAAAGCACTGCAAGAGAATTAACTAAATGCTTTCATGCTTTTTTCTTTCAGGCAAGAAGGAGGTTTCGAATGAGACATCAATCAATGTAGAGAAGGTCTCAGAACAGCGCTTAGCAATAATACTTCAATCATCCACTCCCAGAAAACAAACACTTGCATGTTCCTGACCTTGTAACATTTATTTTTCTAGGGCCCATGCTAAGCTGTACACCATCACTCCCCTCGCTTGTTGACCTGATCTATCTCACAGGCGCTGCACCGTGAGCGCAGCAGATGACCGCACTCCCTGAAGTGCTGGATTCGCTGTGCACACACAATTTGGCAGTGGCACCCGTTGCCTGCCCACCAGTTGCTCTCTAACAGAGTAGCAGTAGTGCACAAGGGAGATGGGTGGCATGGTCCCCTGGAAGAAAGGGCACCTGGAATAAGTCCCAGGCTGGATGAATTTCCCTGGAGGGCTGTGTGAGGTCTATTTGCCATACCCTGACTGAGAATATAGATTAGACCTACCATACGTTCAGGTTTTCCCAGTGATGTGGTTTTTTTTCTGCTCAGGGATTTTTTTCTGAGCAATATTAAAGGATTTTGTGCACTTGCCCAGCATTTCTAGATGCCTATCAGTTGTTCTGAGGAAGCTGTTGAACATCTGGAAATCCTGGATACCCCCACACAGCTCAATACACTCTGTTGTACAAATGCAACCACATTCATGTGTTTGGGTTACCACAATTTATTTTTTCATCCGGGGAGATAGGCCTGTATGGTGCACAGGACTTGCATTTGCTTTCTAAGTCACGTAAGTGCCGTCTCTGTGGGATATATGCTTTTGGTGGGGATAAGGCCACTCATATGACTAGTAGTTTCAGAGCCAGGTACTTGACCCAGCACACCTAGATGCCCTTAGCCAGTGCTTTGTGGCTGTTTTTAGAAGGCTAGTTGACAACTATTTCATTAGGAATAATAAATAGCATAACCCTAAAAAAAAGGTTTATTAATAAGCCAATTAAAGGTGCCAAATGTAAAGCATTTAATCTTGGAACAACCTATTTTTTCCCTTTGCTCTCTTGTTCCTAAGAGCTGATCATGAATCTTGCCTGAACATATATTTTAACACAGCAAGTGCAGCCAAGGATTTATTAGCTTGAGAAATCAAGCTGGCAAATGAGCCTCTTAAAATATTACTCCATCTATTGCACCTATTTCAGTTTCCATGCAGAAAGGAATGACCATTGATAGCCCATCAATCGGGACTCCCTCCTTAGACTTTGCAGAGAAGACAGTATGGCCCAAAGCTGATGATGGACCCCATCCCTCTATCTCCCCTGTTAGCAGTCACCAGTTCAGCACAAATGCATGGAAGTACCATGCTCTGGCATTTCTGCTGAGCTCTGTTCACACATAACCTTAAACACTGCTTTTACTCTTGGACCGAAAGAGAGGGCACAAGATGCTATCTGTTCACAGAAGAGGGAAGCAAGGTGTGTGGAGCTGAAGTGATTTGCCCATCATCACACATGGGCTCTAAGGCAAAGACAACACCTGCAGCCAGGCTGTGGCGAGCCCCACACCTTCAGCCTTGCACACAGCCTGCTGGGGCTGGACTCAGCATTGCAGACCTGCACCGGCCACTCTCTGACCCAAAGCCACCGCATCTGCAGGCCACCACCAGCCAGGGTTCAGCAGGACACCCTGGGCAGGCGGTGTATGAAGCCTCTCCTTCTCTTCCACACTGGCTTCCCATACCTCATGATGTGACTGGGGGCCCACTCATGACTGTTTCACTAAGGGCTTGGGCTGTGCCATTTAAAATTTAAAAAGACAAAAATCTGCAGATTTTCAGTTCTGTCTTCCTCTGGTTTTGGAGGCCACATTGCCTTGTACACACAATAAATAGGCTGCTCTCGTATTTTATCTACAGTGCACTTTTAAAAACCAGGCAGATTACTTATCCAGTACCCAATGTCAGCAAAAATAACAAATACCAACCGCAATGTTATGAGACGCTTTAACTTATTTTGACTAAAATGCTATGCCTTTTTGACCAACATTTAAGCAGTGCTAGGCACATCTTTTTCCTCCTTGCATGGCACATGCTGACTGTGTGCCTCCAGGAAAATGCATTTCATGCATATGAACGTGCTGTTGAGTTTTCTGGGACACGCACGCACACAAACATAGAGAGAAAAGTGTATCCTTAGTCCAATCTAAAATGCTTGTTTCAGCAAAACAGTTTCCTTCCTCCTTCTTTGTTAGGTCAGGGTAAAAATATAACTCTGGCTTTCCTTACAAAACAAAGTGTGGTGTTGTTGTTTATTAAACTTCCTCTATTTTCTCCTGATCTGTACAATGATCAAGGCTGCCTAGAAATCCAATTTGCTGTCTAATCTACCACAGCTATCTTCATGCATTCTCTGTTCTCCATGATGCCTCAACGCACACAAATAAATATTTCCTTAGCTAGGCACAGCTCAAAGCTGGGGTCTGTGTCAAATTGCAACATGGTCTCCCAAATTCCCTCAGCACCACTCTGTCTGGCTAACCACAGCAACATCAGGGATGATAAACCGACCCACGAAAATGTAAAAGTGCCTTTGTCAACAAAAAGCCTGCAGGAGGGACCACACTTTGGGAGCTGAAGCACCTTAGTCCAAGCTTTGCTACTACCATCAAATAACCAAACAATCTCAGGGAAAAGCATGACGATTGCAGTTGCATGTGCAGATGCAAATGCATTCATGAATAAACACTGTCCTTCATGCTTAGTTAATAGGAAGTTTAGGAAAATACCAGCATTCCCAGGGTTAAACCTCATGGCAAAAAATATCTTCATGCTACAAATGAAAGCGAGTTAATTGCTTGTGCTACTCTCAAAGTGCTGCAACAACAGCTGGCTATCTTCCTCATTAAAGTTCAGTTCCTAAAAAGCCAGGTCAAAAGAAGCAGTGGTGTGGAATCACTGCATAATTATTCTGGTACACGAAGTTGATACTTGTTTCAGTGCTTCTCTGGCGCATGTTTTCTACTCCAGACCTCAGTGGTAATCAGTTGTGTCTGATGCAATGGCTACCCAAAAAAGGAAGATCTGCAGTTAGTGTGGTCTGTTCGCCAGCATGAACCTTCCCCATCCACATATACATTTTTACCTCAATAGGTAAAAACCACCACACAAAATCTGCAAAGGCATCTGAAGATGATGCCGGGATGAATGCACCATCATTCCGAGTGCACTGTACGTGGTCATTTTTCTTGTCCGTTTGCAAATGTTGTAGAAGAATCTTCTTCTCTCTGAGAGAAAATAACTTCAATTATGTGTTCCCAATTACAGAAACGTGGAAATTATCTTCTTTTCAGAAGGTAGAATTAGCCCAATTTGGAATTGAAAGGCAGCCAGAAACATCTTTCACTGATACTTACTTTCCCTTTCATTTTTTTTTTCTTCTTGTTCATCTGCATAAAGTTAGCACTTTCCTTTCACTTCACTCACCAAAACTGATCATCAGTTAAATAAACAGTTAAACAGCATTGCAGCACATTTTTTATTCAATGGCCTGACAAAGACCATACTTTTTCATTTAAGTTACTGACTGTCCAAAACAATCACAAACTTTCAGAGCAAAGAATCCAGCATGGTGCCACATCTCTCATGAGTTGCACTCCCAAAGAAATATCAAGATTGCCTGCAGCTGTAATTCAGTTTATAATTAAGGCCAACTGATCTCTCTTACAGAGGAGATACACTGGAAAAAAATTTTAATTTTTGATTTATTTTCCCAGTGAAAAGTTACAGCTGCCAGAGTACATAAAGATTCCTGAAAAGACAACTCTGCCTTGAACCCTTCCAACATGCACGTTCCTGGGTTTACTCCTGGTTGGAGAACAATTCATCAAGATCCTTTGAAGAAGCTGCC